GCTTAAGTGATCTGGAGACAGTTCTGGGAGTCAAAACTGAAACAAACACTAAGCAAATGAGCTGGTGCAGGGGAGCAGAGGAATGCTGGCCTCAGGGCTGAGGAATGCAAGCCTGTCCAGACAGCGAGAGCAGCTGTACGTGCACCCTACACTATGATGGGAAACTGGCTGGAAGGAGGTAAAAAGTTAGTGGTGTTTAGTCACTTTTATATAAACCTATACTTAGAAAACCCAGCTAAACACATAACCTGTTTAATGCCAATATACCTGTGCAGCTCTATTCTGCAATCAGAAGGCATAAATTCAACGAGATCTACAGAAGAGGTTAAGGGCTTTCACACTAGAAAGTCAGAAATCAATTCTAGAAACAACTGGCAGTTGGATTATTCACCTAAATCCCATGCACCTTCTCAGCCTGGCTTCCAGTCAGGCAGATCCTTTCCCCATTGACAGAGGAGGAACTGTTCTTCCAGTTAAGCCCACAACCAGAGCTTCCATCTCACCAGAAAAGGTTTTGTTTAAAACCCACAGCAAGCGTTACTGCACACCAATAGAAAAGTGCTTAGGCAGCTTTAAACTTCAAAAGGATCACAGGTCAGACAAACCCTGCTGACCTGCACCACAGATGCCACCATACCATCTCCTTTAACAGTGACAGGTAATGCCTTGCACGTCTGTCAGCATCTCACACCCCAAAACAAGAGTCAGGTTTGCTCGGTCCTTTGTGACTAACTCTGTCAGCTCCCAGGCCAGCAGACAACAGCATCAAACACCTCTAGGTTGTACACAATACTGTCAAGCAATGAAACCTCAGCTCTGCAGCTGAAAGCAACATAGAATGGTTGGGGTTGGAAAGAACCTTAGGATCACCCAGCTCCACCCCTCTGCCATGGGCAGGGACGTCTTCCACTGGAGCAGCTTGTTCCAAGCCCCTGTGTCCAACCTAACCTTGAGCACTGTCAGGGATGGGGCAGCCACAGCTTCTCTGGGCACCCTGTGCCAGCGCCTCAGCACCCTCACAATAAAGAACTTCTTCCTTAGATCTAACCTGAACTTCCCTGTTTCAGTTTTAACCCATTACCCCTTGTCCTATCACTACAGTCCCAGATGAAGAGTCCCTCTCCAGCATCCTTATAGGCCCTCTTCATATATTGGAAGGCTGCTATGAGGTCACCACACAGCCTTCTGTGCTCCAGGCTGCCCCATAAGAATACATGCCCCTTTACTTCGAGTTTCAGTGTTTCAAAGGCTGATTTAGTTATCCTGGCTGCTTGCCCATTTGGCAAAGGCAGGACAGAGCAGCGGCTTGCCCGAACTTCAGGGCAAGCTTCCTGCCCAGATCTCCAATGCTCCTGAGCCAGGGCTCTTCCAAAAAGCCTCAGTTGTTATCACAGGCCAAGGAACAGGAGAATAGGAAACCAGGCTCTGCTTACTGCTACGTGTTGAGAGGAAAGCCCATGGGGGCTGTCGCAGCTGAAGGTTAACTCCATGCCCAGGTGGAGCATGTGGGAGGGCAGGAAGGACAAAAAGCAGAGCCAGTAAGAACTGACTCAGCAATGCTCACCCCCTCTCATTATCTCACAGCTTAAAGCAGAAATGTTAAAACACACTTTCAGAATGAGATGGTTTATATAATGCTGCTGGAAGCAGACAGACATTTTAACTCATGCAAGTAACCAAAAGCACAGATGCACTGGGAAGCTGCAGATGATCGGATCACGAGTCAGTAATTGCAGGCTGCAATTACTTAACATGCAGGGCACATTTCAGGGCTTAATGCAGGAGGAGGCTGAAGGACAGCCAGCCTTCCCATGCAGGAAGGGATGGGATTACAGCCCACACCAGAGGAAGTCCCACCCAGCACTGCAAAGGGCAAAGTCTTACTCCTGGCTGTCAACATGAGCTTGAGCATCCAAACACCACTGTTTTGCAGACACCACAGGGAAGAGTTTGTTATTTCCCCTGAAAATAGCTAACAAATAACCCTCTAACCCTTCTGTTCCCAGGGATGCACACTTACAGCACTCAGACACCAAAAAATGCCTGTTGAATCTATGCTTTATGTAGTAAGACCCATGGAGATGCTTGTATGAACAGTGCTGCAGTGAGAGGAACAAGCTACTGGCCGTTAAGTTTTTCCTGTGAAAAACATTAGTTCTTTATGCAGCCTGCCTCCTGCTATGGTTCCACATCTGGACAGAAGGCAAATAAGCACTCAGTCTGCACCCATTAGCCATCTCCAGGGGAAAAGCGCATCATGCAGAGAGGGCTGAAAGCTGCCCAAAAGCCTGGCCACAAGTTTTTGTATGAAACAGCACCTTATTTAGACAATTTGAAATATGTTACAGAGGGACACTATGGCTGGGAATTTGCATAATGGGCGTCTACATCTTGCTTACCTAACAGGAGAAGAATCCTGTCTGTCAGTAAGTCTAGACTGTGGTGTTGAATCCAGGGGACCAAGGAATCTCCCAGCCAGAAATAACACCCAGCACAGGGCAAGGTGCTGCCATCTGCCGACACCCCGGGCATTCTGAAGGCACCTCTGGGTTGGGACTGCCCTGCAGTGCTCAGAGCAGCAGGAAAAACCATCTTCCTCCTTGCAAAGGCTAAGCTGCCTCTTCCAAGTGCTCCAGTGCCTCGCTCCACTGTGCTGGCTGGACTGCACTGTTAGCTGGAGCAGCGATTAAAGCGATGGTTGCATGACAGTCTCCTTGATACAAATGTATAGGCGTTATTTAATATTAAAGGCCACAGCATAACAAAGAGAGTTTTCCAGTTTAAAATACTCCACGGGCTTAAGTGGCTTAACAGAGACCTCTGCAGTTCAGACCAGCTCAACGCAGGCAGTTAATCCAGAGAAGTTTTTCCCCACTCAAATGAACTGTGGTTTAGACGATTTGATACCCAAAAGGCATATTTAGCCACCATTTCTGTCTCCAAAAGCCTTCCTGTGACACACAGAACCCACTGGCTTTGGACTCACACAGATCTTAACTCTTTGGAGTTGCTGCAGCAGCTTCTTCTGCTGCAGAACAGCAACTGTTTGTCATCTGTCTTCCTGCCCCAAAGCAGCACCAGCCTGACCCAAACCAGATCTTCCCCTCAGGTGCCCAGTGTGGGTATCAAACACTTCCTGAAAATGGGGAGGACTTAAACATGCACTCAGCCTCCTGCCCCATCAATTCCAATGGGTACACTAACAGAAGCAAGCAACACTCCTTTTCCTCTTTGAAATACAGCACCCTTGATCTAAAGATAGTCCATCCCTAGGACGACAGAACTACGGGAGCAAGTTACTCTATTCTCAGCTATGGGCTCGTCGTAAGTTCCTTTACCTTGCTGCTATTTCACACATGGGACAGGAAATACAGGATTTCACAAAAGGACTACTGCTGCACAAAGGCACTTTCGAAGCTCCATGGAAAGCACTCATGTCAAGTATTACACTATGAGGATGGAGTCAACCAGAGGAAGGGGACACCAGTATCCACATACCACAGTCCATCTTTTACTGTGAAATCTTCAGCTATTGATTGTTCCAAGCAGCAACAATTTCTTTAAGGACTACTAAAACAATTTCTCAGTATTTTATAGAAGCAGCTGCACTTAAAAAGTCAGCATCAAATGGGATGTGGTTAGACCCAACTGCATCGCATCATGTGTGGTGCCACAGAACACCATCTGCATGGCAACATGAGATTCAAGACCTCTGAAGGAAAACCATATGAGAAGACAAGGTTGGGAGTAAAACTGCAAGGTTTGGAAAAGGAAGCAGTGGAAACACGCTGGTGAAATGGTGAAAGGGAAGGAAGCTGGTGCAGAACCTCCCTGTCATTTCCCTTCAAGAACACCAAAGTCTACCCATTCACTGTGCCCCATCTTCTTTACACAGTGAGGCCAATGAAGCTTTCTAGGAGGTGAACTCCACCTACAGCCATCACTGCAGTTTAAATCAAACTTCAATATCATATTTGGGGGCACCCAGGGAAAATATCAGCAAAATGGAAAAAATAAGACTAAAACTTTCAGAAAGGTGCTGCTGATTTTGCCTGCACAGAGATCATGCAAAGCTCATGGACGATTTAAACCAGCACAACTAATGCTTAACTTATTTCTTCTATAGAAAAGTCATGAGGCTTTAATCACGTTGCTTCATTAACTGGAGATTACTAATTACAGGCTTTGTTAGTCAGCACTACCAGACAATGCTTTAGTGTTGATTGTTCGTATAGGGAAGATTGGAACAAACCATTTCATCTTAATGGCATACAAGGTTATTTGCAAGAGCTGTCCTCAGCAGAATGGACAAAAATCATTATGGTTGTCAGAAAAGCAACAGCTTCAGTGAGATGTGTGTGAAGCCAAAGACAAGAGGTCACAAAACACAGGACACATGAGGCACACACCTTGAATCATGTGTTGCATCTCTTGCCTCTACCCTTGACCATTCTTCTTAGAGGGCAGGGAGACTAGTCACTTGGAGCACTTAATATTCCAGCACAGAGCAAAACCACTGCTATATGGAATGAAGAAGCCATCATTGTAGCATCTTCTGTTTGTGTGCTACAGGTAAATGCTTACCAGCAAAGGCTAGATAAAAAAGGAACCTGAACTTCATTATCCAGCTACAGCAGTTGAAGCACACAGCTTCCCTTGTCTCCCAGCAAGAACAAAGGCTCCCACGAACACCTCATGCCTTCTGACTCAGAGGGACATGTCCTCTTTGGAATCTACAGATCTTCTTCCCTAATTAACGAGGTGGATTACTGTTACATGACACTGCTCCATATGGGTAGTGAGGAATCACCACCCTTTGTCTCAGACCAGCGAGAGCATGAAGAGTCAAATCAGAAGAGCACCTGCAAATCACAGCCACCACAGTGGCACCATTTGCTGTACCATCTTCCACTGTAGCAGGTAAAACTTCATCATCAGAGGAAGGCAAATGAATAATGAAATGATACCACAGGTTGCAAAAGGTTAAACTTCTTGCTCACCTCCTTACTGCAGTGAAGCAGTTCCAGCTACGGCCTCGTAGGGCGTGCTTGCTGCTGGGGATCCCGGTTATGATTCCTCCTGGCAAGGAAAGAGGAATTCAGGAGATCCATCAGTGATACACCAAACAGACAGTTCACTATTAATGAAGTTATAATTTGGAATAACATATCTCTCAGCCTGTTTCCAGAGCTGAGCTGCTCCAGCCCTTGGAGCATCTCTGTGGCCTCTTCTGGACCCACTCCAACAGGTCCACATCCTTCTTACGTGTGGGATCTGATGTTGAGCTTATGTCCCCCATGGGGGAGAGGGGAAGTTGTTTGCACATTCTGGGGCAGGGGAATGCTGTAGAGCAGTGGTTTAGCAAAGAAGGAAGTAGAGTCTTCTGGCTAAACACAAACCAGCAAGTTTTGGCTTTGAGAAACACCACAAGATCCACCAGTAAGCTGGCCTTAGGAAAGCATTAAAAACAGCCTAGGAGAAACCAACTTGTGTTGGCTTTCCCCCATGTCGAGATGCTGCTGTGCTACACCCCGTTACCCAGCTCCGTGGGACATCCTCCTTCCTGCTTACCAGTAAGCCATTGCTCAACCCTCCTCTGGTCAGCCCAAATTACCACACTGAAGTCAAAGCTGTTGTAAGCGAGAGCTAGGGTTTATTCCAAGAATCCATGTGAGCTGAAATCGAAGCCTGCTTGTGTTCTGCACTCACTGCCTGGACACAAACAACCTGGTTGGGGTTTTTTTTAAAGGAGCAAAACCCACGTCATTTACTCTCCACTGGGGCTGAGGCCGTGGCTGCCCTTGCCCCTTTCACCTCCATCCCCTGCAGATTTCAGTAAATCAAAGGGTGAGGAACAGCCAAAACCAAGAATTTGCAAATATTCCTTTTTCTTTTTTTTAAACAGCAATTCCCACAAACACAACATTCCAAAGGAGAGCGTCAAATGCCAGCTATCCACATAAACATGAAGGCCAGAGCAAGAGAATCACAGAAGAGAGAGGGCTGGAGAAGACCTTAAGATCATTTAGTTCCAACAACTTTCCGGATGGACACAATCCCATCTTTGGCTTTCAGCAGAAACAAGCCTTTTGTTTACAGGCTTGCAGAATCTGACCCCAGGGGCTGGTCTGGTCTTGCTCAAAGAAGGAAAACAAGCTTGACCTCAGCGTGCTGGGATAAACTCTGCCCCCTCTTTCCTTCTATGCTTGTCCCAGCACAAAGGTAAAGAACATGATATTCAGCAGTGTGACCAAGCAGAGCGTGACCACACAGCCTCCCGTTTACTGACATCAAAACCAAGCGCGTTAGAGCCAAGGAGGTAACCTGACTGGACACACTGCTGCTGCCATTCATCAGGCACTTCCCAGCTGGCAGAAGGTCCTCAGTAAGTCAGCTTGCTCCCCTGTATGGTAGAATCACAGAATGGTTTGGGTTGGAAAGGACCTTAAGATCATCCAGTTCCAACCCCCCTGCCATGGGCAGGGACACCTCACACTAAACCATATCACCCAAGGCTCTGTCCAACCTGGCCTTGAACACTGCCAGGGATGAAGCATTCACAACTTCCCCTGGGCAACCCATTCCAGTGCCTCACCACCCTGACAGTAAAGAACTTCTTCCTTATATCCAATCTAAACTTCCCCTGTTTAAGTTTGAACTCGTTACCCCTTGTCCTATCACTACAGTCCCTAATGAAGAGCCCCTCCCCAGCATCCTTAGAGCCCCCCTTCAGATACTGGAAGGCTGCTATGAGGTCTATAAGGTCTATGTTAAGTACAGCATTCACTTACCTAGCACAAACCCCTCCCTGCATGGACAGCCATGCTCACAGCACACACTCCCCTATCTCCCACTTGAACAATTTCCTACACAGTTGAGAAGCAGGCTGCAGTTTCCTCCAGGAGAATACTGCACACCAGCACTTGCTGGCAACAGAGCCTGAACAGAGAACCTGAGTCATCATTCAAGACATGGCTTGAATGGAATGGCTCTACCATTCTCATTAGAAACATGGAAATCATCATGGAAATGTGTCACAACAACAGGTTTTGGGGGAAAAAGCAACCCAACTTTGTCACAGTTGAATGTTCATGACCTATTTAACAATGTGGGCCAGAACCCCCTTCTCAAGCCTGCTCTGCCAACATGCAAGCGGCTGGCAATGCAAGTACCAGCATTTTAAGAGATACCTTGAAGAGGGAGTGGGCAGCAAGGAGGGGAATTCCTTTCCAAACTAACTGGAAGCAGCAACAGTTGGTTATGCAAAGCATCTCCCAGAGCCGGAGCCTGCAGCTGCCAACATTCCCTCAAAGTCAGGGCAAGGCTTGAAGGAAAGCAGATCACCCATTCCAGCCCACCAGAAAACCTGCAGTGCCAGGAACAATACGGGAGGCAGTGTCTATGGAATTCTTTCCACCAGGATCTTCCAGCTCATCAGCAGGAAAAACTTGCTATACTTCCCTTGGACACTCCAAGATCTGGCAGATCATGGAGCAGGCAGCAACCAATGCTATCAACTATTCCAACTGTGATTAATGAAAAGGTTAGAGAGAGTTTAGAAAGACAAGATTCAAAGAGTCATCCTTCTGCAGCGAATGACTGATGATCCCTGGCAGTGTTCAATGCCAGGTTGGACACAGGGGCTTGGAGCAACCTGCTCTAGTGGAAGGGGTCCCTGCCCATGGCAGGGGGCTGGACCTGGATGAGATTTAAGGTCCCTTCCAACCCAAACCATTCTATGATCCTATTGTGCTACTAGTCTTTATGATTTTTAATGAATGCTTCAATACATGAAAAAGTGTGCAAGTCAGAGGTGCTGCATTCATATGGTGAACAAGTCACCAACCCTACCACCTTTGCAAAGGAAGGCTGACATGCAATGCTCCTGACAAACTCACCTGGGGTTTCAAAAACAGAGCCTGTCAGCAAGCTATTTGTGCAGAAGAGCCTCAAGATTCCCATTCCAGAAGGGAGTCCTGCTCTGCTAAGAGCCTGCTGCAGGCAACTCAGCAGTGGGGTTGTTATGGAGCTCTAGCCACCCTAGCCCAGAGGATGCTGTGAACTCATTCAGCACCATTAGGGAACGCAGAACAGCTCATGGAAACAATCTGTAAACCAGCAAATGACTCCTTTTAAGATGTCTGATGGATCCCTAATCAAGCAACTGTTCCATGTCGTACCACAGGCCCAAATGAAAGCATTACTGGCTGACAGATAACAAACTACCACTGAGATGCATCAGCACGAGACTGTGATTCAGAGCAGTGCTGCAATTCTGAGATAATGACCTGCTGGACAGCATGGCACATCTCACTGCAGGCAAGTAGGTGCAGATCTGCACCAGGAGTTCAGATTCCCCAGTGCTGACATATAGTGAAGTTAAAGGGAGAGAAATGCATTACTAAAGGTGAAGTTGCTCAGATCATACTCAGAATTAAGTAACCTTAATGGGATAACCAACTCCACTGCTTAGTTTAATTCTGTTGCTTAGTACTCCAATAACAGGCAAAAGATCTTGGCCCACAAGGAGATTTTGTCATGTCTCTAAAAATACATACCTATAAATAGTAAATCAGTATCAAACAATTGTATCCGGACAACCAATGCAAAACACCCCTGGTAAAGGGAAAGCTTGTGGAGCTTAACTTTCTCTCATTATTCCCTCCAAGGGATGAGCAGGTTCTTCCTTCCTTGCCCACAGAGCTCCTGCCATTTTCCAGCACACAGCCCAGAGAGTTTTTGCTAAGGAACAGCTACCGCAGCAAGTGCACATTTGCTTTTGGAGGCAAATCACTAGTTGTGAAGTTGCTAGGAAGTTCTGGCACCTTGCTCTGGAATACTTTTTAAGTCCTAAAATGGGAAGGGTTGGAGGAGAGGCAAGCAGAAACAGCCTTCCCCACGTCCTGCAGTGCTTCACACCTCAAGGGATCTATGCTTCAAGCTCAAAAGCCGCAGAAGCGATTTGACAAGACCCATGAGACTACACTTGTCACTTTAAAGTCCCTCCAAAGGCAAAGCCTTAGCAGCAGCTGCTCCTGTGAAGCTCAGCTCCTTTGGGGTCTCAGAGCAGAGCAATGGGAAGCATTGCTAGGATGCCCACAAGCATCCCAAGCAGCTCAGCACCCCACCCAGCTTCATGCACAGGCATCTATGCACGAGTGGGTTCCCACGTGGGAAGGTGCAACTCAAGACCACACAGCCCTGTACAAACAAGTAATTCATAACTGAAATGACTCTGAAAATGCCTTAAATGCTCACTGATCTAAGGAAAAGGAGCACAGAGCAGCACAGTGTGGTGCTCAAGCACCGGATTTACCTACCCTGCCACTCTGCAGCAAGATGGGTACTGAGAAGGGCAGTTACTACAGTCTTGCGTTCCTACTCAGGCTTTGGTTTTCCCCTGAGCAAAAGAGGAAAAAGTTGAAAATAAACCTTGCAGACAGGAGCATTCCATCTGCAAGAGTTCATTCCTTAAAGAACCAGGACAAACTCAATTCCTCAGTAAATAGCTGGGGTTACTGACTCTGCTTTGCACTCTATCACTAAACGCTTCCAAGGTTTTAGAGCAATATACTCAGGACAGCGGTCCATGGAAATAACTGACTTATTTCAGCAGTAACTGAGCTATATTTAAAAACGTTACTTATGGGATGCCAGTTTCCTGAAGCTGTTTGGAAAATTCAATTTTAAAATGTACAAACAGTAATGGAACAAGAATGTGCTGTAGCAACAGCCTTCTTTTGCTAGGAGATCCATTAGATAGGTTTCTGGACTTTGCAACTTGGTTTCGTCCCCAAAAGATCACCTTTTCCTTCTTTTAGAGGACAGATTAAGAATAATAACAAAAAAATTCTGCATGTCTGCAGAAAAAACCCCATGTTTATAGGAAAAGTTTATTTCTGTAAAAAAAAAGAAATCTTCCAGTTTTAGCAGATGCCTCCAGCTCTTCTAACCAGACCAAATCAGTGACAATACACTTCTTTCCTCTAGGGATGCTTGGATTTAACATGAGTAGATTAGCTCAATGCCTCTGCCAAGCAAAAAAGCAGTAAGAGTTCTTTTCTGTCACTGACAACCTCCTAAAAATTGGAGGCATTTTAAAATGTACACCAACTGAACAACTGCTTGAAACAGGAAGAGGAGGTGAAAGCATATCCAGCTGAAGCAGCAAGGGAGAATTCATTACCCTGTAAATACCGAAGCGAAACACAAATGGGATGCTGTGGTTTATCATTCTTCAAGTGCCATTATAAAAGTGCACAAGCATTTGCTTTTAAATGTTACGACAAGCAGCCGAATGGCACAAACTATAGCTGCGTTCATTGACAATTCAGGAACTGTTCCAGTAAAACAAATGCTAAACATCTACAGGCTGCTAACTTCAAATCCAAGCTAGCAATACAGCACCCCCCAGAGAGGAAATGCTACCCTGTTCCTACCATATGGGCAAATTTCACCTCATTCTACCATTACAGAAAGTGAGAAGAAGAAAAAACTGTGTCAAGGAAGGATTTAGAAGCAAGGTTAATAATTTTCAATGTGGTTGCTCCTCCTGGGATACCTTTTTCTCTCAAAGCAACTTTTGAGGTTATTTCAATGTGCTTTCCTGTTATACAAAGCACCCTGTCTTCCAAGGACTATCAAGCAACTTTGTACTGTCAATTAGTTATAGAACTGAACTCCTTAATAAACCCTGGGAAATGGGATGTTCTTGATGTATCACTGATTACTAGGCCAGGGCAGCATCGTTTCTGCAAGACGTAAGTCACCAGTAAAGGTGCCTTCCCCTAACTTTGTGAACAGGGCAACAATTGCCAGCATTAAAAACCACTTCCTAACTAACAGACAGGTGCTGTCAGAGTCCTGACCAGCAGCAGAAAACTGAGAGTTATTCACCACACAGAGCTGAATGAAATGTAAGGGTTCACAAATGGGTCCTGAAAACAGAAGGCAAACAGCAGTGAGAACTCATTCACAGGCCCTGCTGCAGGAACAGCTTAGAAAGGAAAAAGATCCCACTGGGCTGGGGAGAGATGCATGCTTCCATACTTCAATCTTCAATCATATCTGCCTCTTTAGTGAACAAAGATTTGCTTTGGAGATGGAGACTGGCATAAGCATTTCCTGTTTGATGCCCTGAGGCAAAATATTAGCATGTAACAACCTCTGTTGGTTTTCCTTTTGTTGCTGGTTTTTTTCTCCCCAATTCCTTATATTTTAAATTATGCCTTCACTTGACTGTGACTCACAGCAAAGCTCTGCACTGATCCCACGAACATCCTTCCCCCTCTTGGAGGAGACACCAAGTGCAAAAAGTAGAGCAGAATGACGCAACTGGGACAGACAGGGGACACTTCTGTTCAGAAAGTGAGGCAAGAGGAAGCACTGCTGTATCCCTGCCACAGTTCTAGGGAAAGGGCCAACAGTCACATGATGATGCACAGCTCCTAATGCATTTGCTAACAAGTCTGCCAGTCAATTACTCATTTCATATGGTTTTAAGGACTTGTGTTCTCTCAGCATTCTTGAGACTCAGGCTGTTGCTCAGATGACAGTGGAAGCAGCACATGCCTGGCAGCTGATGCTGTGGGGTCCAGCTCCAAGGACACACTGCCCTCTCTTGGCGACTGCAAAGCCAACCCCATGGAAGGGCACTGAAGATCAACATGCTCCTGGCATCTCTAAAAGACCTTTCTGCCCAAGAAGCAAGTCAGAGGCAACAAAGCAACTCTGGTAACGCTCCCCTGCCTGATACAGCGCTTTGAGGAAGGATGTGTAAATGCCTTTTGGAAGAGCTGCTCTTAAGGTAGGTCAGTTTTGACTAATAACCTTGTAGGTACCTTTATATCATCCTATCAAACCTTTACTTTTTTCACCTGGAACTGTAGAGCAGATAATGCATGGCACAACTGTGTCTATCCTGGAGGCTACTTTAACACCTAAAGAGCAGTAAAAATGTGCTTTGGTAACAGTCATCACATAAAAGAACATAATTCAGGAAAACCATTTCAGCTCATAGGCAACAGCTACATGTTAGCTTTCTGTGTGACCTCGGGGCAACTTTAGACATTTTACACCCTGTCTTGGTCAAACTGTCTCTAAGTGGACTCTGAGCATGCTGCTACCATATCCACACTGCTCACCTCATAAGATATCCCTGGTTTGGGGAGTCAAGGATACAGTGATAGGGAAAATTAACTGTGAGGGAGGAGCAATGATCTGGATGCCTTTATGGTGTACTGCTGCATAAACATACCTGGTCAGAGAGTGTTCACACCACCTTCTTCAGCACAAAGGCAGATGAAAAGAGGAAAGCTCTCCTAAAAAAGGAAATGGAGAGAGTTTTCAGCAATTAAAACATTCCTGCAGGGAATGCCCACTACTCTGGACATCAGCTTTTCATCCAACCAGCTGAAGCACTCCACACCTTTTGGGGTTTATGAAGGCAGACACCATAGCCATATGGCTACAAAGACCCTTTTTACCCTGACAGACACCAGTGTTATTTTTGCCCTGCTTGAAACCAGGCTGGACTTGGCTGTTACAGAACTATTTCAAGTCACCGAGTATGAGGGACATGTCCCATGGATTCAGAGATCAGCAGCTGATGGCTGGCCAAGCTTTAAGGCTGACTCTTGTCACAGAGGCAGAGCACCTATGTGCACTCTGTGCAATTTCAGATCTGAGTCTGAAGATGGCTCCATGAGCACAAGAGATGCCATCCACTTATGCCTCCCTGGAACAAGAGAAAAGTATCATTAGGCACACAAAGAATGAAGAAATAATCCGAATGCTTAGTCAGCCATCAATCACATGGTATTTGTCATAGGCTGACAACAATGCTGCTGAGAAGGCATGGAAGCAGTCACATATGTGCATTATATATTTCTAAAGATGTAAGACTGCGATATAGAACCTACAACAAAAGAAACCAGAGAAAAATAGCCTGAGCAACTCATGGGAGTCAAAGAGAAAAAGAATGACAAAGATTTAACTAAAGAAAGGGAAGAGGAAGGCAGATCTGCAGCATTTCACTTTTTTGTTCCTCCTCACAATGATCAAATTAAAAAGCCCACACACCTAAAGTAAGGAAAGTTACAGGGGAGATGGAAATACAGTCATTCAGAACCACTGTTTAGCTTCAGAAAACTGCTGCATTACCTTCCTTTGTCAAGCAGCAGATAATGAAATCAGCAAAAGAAAATGCAGAATTTGGACCCATCATGCAAAAACCAGAAGGAAACCAAGGATATCTTAGGTATGAGTTTACCAATCTGGACCTAAGGAGCTCTGGCTCCACAAATACCACCCAGCAGGGCATAAGTGATGATGAAAGGAGACACAAGTGACTGTGCCAAGATCCCAGTGCTTTCTCCCATGTCCTCATTGCAGCTACAGCCATAACGCTACCCTCACACACTCAGCCCAACAAGTATAAGACATCAATGTAAGACAACATAAAAACCAGAACTTGGCATAGGCATGTGCCCAGCACCCAGTTACAGAGCTGTGATTTACTAATAAACCTTTCTTCAGGAACCTTCCTCATGTTTCATTTATACCTTTGAAAACACCTCAGATAAAACCCTGGCTCCACCAACATCACGCAAGATTTGTCATTGACTTAAGGATAAATATCCTAGTTGCATTTCTGTTTCCACTGCATGATGTCTGAAGCTCCAAACATGACTTTAGCATTTAATTCATGGTGACAGGCAGTCAACCTCAGTATTGCCAAGAGCCAGCCAACAGAGAGCTACAGAGATCCCTCGAAGACTTGACCCTCTCTAGCTATTAGAAGAGAAACACCCATTGAATGTGCTGGTGTGAATTAGAAGAAAGCACACAGGGAGTAGAGAATATGGACATTATTATTTTAGGTAAAGCTTGGGTTTCCTTAAGATTATGATAGAAACAATCAGATAACTACAGCTGGTGCTGCGAGGGCCACAGGGCAGTAAAAGGGCTGCTGCTGGTGCCCAGCCTGTTTTCATAGCAACAGCACCAAAACACATGCTACAAGCTCTGTGAGGACAAGTAGCTGCATAGCTTGTTCCTAGAGGGAACTGTTTAATGTCTAATCATTAACAGTAAAAACCACCCTAGATAAAAGTCAGCTAGCGACAGACTAATGCAGTGATGCATTTCATGTCAGCAGAGTCATTACAGTCACCAGGAAGCGCAGGATGTCTGCTTGTTCCTGTTATGGCTCTACTGTGTTTCCCTGCAGAAGGGACAGCTTTGCAGGAAACAACAGAAATTAGAATTAAAAGTAATAATCTATTTGTTCTTTAAACCTCTCTCAGCCAAACAGCAAGAGCATCTGCTGCAGTGTGCTGAAGGCAGAAGATGGGACATGCTCATATGCATTTTAAGCTGCTGCTGCCATTAAAGATGAGAAGCAGCAGCAGTGTTGGGAGGTTGCTTGCCAGAAATACTGCAGTTACATGGTCTGAAAAGTGCAAACCTCAAATGTGTCAAGCCCATTACTTGCCTGGTAAGGCTGTGAGGGCAAACCAAGCCCAACTTGCACCTGTAGGACCCTATTCCATGATAAAGCAGCAGGTGTGGGAGTCCCCTAAGAGCCTGAGATGGAAATGGAGGTGCATTAACCATCCACTGCCCGTGCAGCACATTGACCCCACGGAAGAGGAGCTACATGTCCCATGTTACACACCAGGTTGGGGATGGGCAGGCACTAAGCACAGTGACAACATGTGCAGCAGCACCTATCTCTTACCTGCAGCCCGAGAGCATCGTCAGCTGCGATAGCTTCGATGTGGGTGTCAGACAGACACGGGCACTGCTATCAGGCTGGATGTAAGGGAGAGGTTCTTTACTGTGAGGGTGCTGAGGCGATGGCACAGGGTGCCCAGAGAAGTGGTGAATGCTCCATCCCTGGCGGTGTTCAAGGCCAGGTTGGACATGGTTTAATGTGAGGTGTCCCTGACCATGGCAAGGGTTAGAACTGGATGATCTTGAGGTCCTTTCCAACCCAAACCATTCTATGATTCTATCAGAAAACATGTACAACATCAAGTCCTGTCACCTTCCCATGGAATTTGCTGGATCAAGACACCTGCTCAGACTCGCTCCAGCCCAGCCCGTGAGGCATCAGTATCTCCCACATACTGGAACAGAGAGGCATTTATTCCCTTCTGAAGCAACACCACTCCCTTGACTAAAACCCAGAGACGACTGCTGAGAGCAAAACCCCTCAGGGGCCAAGCAGGCACAAGGCTCCCAGGCCCTCCCTCCACACACCTCTGCCCAGGAGGGATGTCCACCTAAGCCCCATCCCCACAAAACCTCCGAAGCTGTGCCTGTAAGCAAGCACAGGGGAGGCTGCTGCAGCTGGAGCCTGGTAACAGCACAAGAGAACTAAGCAAGACCCTTTGATATCGATATAAATTGTTCTTTTTCTTCACTACCAGAGGTATGTAAGACTCCATGGATGAGCATGGAGAAACCCTGCATCAGAAGTGCTATCTCCATCATCCTCGCTAAACCCTTCCTATTGAGTACCTTTATCACTCAAAAGAACACTAAACCCAAAACCTGTTCAGATAGAGCTGATGTTCAAAGATGGGTTCTAGACAAGTGTAAAAAAAGAGTCCAAAACACTATGAAAAAGGCAGCAGCACATCAGCAAACCTATTTGCCTTCCCTTCCCAAAGATAAAACCTTGCTCTGCCCATCCCACAATAACCCCAGCCCTGGGGTGCTCTCTGTCAGAAGATGCCTCCAGCAGGAACATCCTCCATCTCCTGCTGGCCACGCAGGGCTCGCTGTCATTCCATGAGCACAAGGACAAAGCCCGTGTGGCACAGCACAGCACAGCACAGCACTACCCCTGCCCAGCTGAGCGAAGCAGAGAACAAACCCCAACGCTTTCAACACGCAGCTGCACGCTCTGAAGTACTGAATTCCTTAGGGTTACCAGACAGCAGCACCAACCCAAATGTACATTCACTGGGTTCTAACAGAGCCTGTCACCATTTGTTCTTCATCACTGACCCCTGTATTTGTGTATAAACTCCTCACATAACATAAGGCAGAGCTGTGCTTGAAAGCGTCACAGAAATAGGCCTTTTTTCAAGCAATGTATTTAAATAGGGGTACCCAAATCACATTTCTTCAGTATCTTTTATCAAAAGCTTCTTAAGCAACTATAGTTTGCTTCCCTACTAATGTGCTGTTGAAAAGAAAAAGCTCAACTGCTTCATTATAATCATATTGATGGTCCTATAAATCTGCAGTCAGACCTGGGAAGCTCTTGAAGCCTGTTGTCCCTAAGACAAAGCATCACTACTGCTCTCCCTCTGCACCCACGAGGAACATCACCCCCTTCACCAACAGTCACAACGCAAAGCCAAAGCCACACAGATCTATAGTGTCCCTATGAGCCTGTTGAGTGTGTCACAAAGCAAATGGCTGCCCAGCCACTGGGATAAATGAAAATCATCTGATGAACCTGCATCCTGCACAATGGACCAACACCGAAGCTCCTTCCACCGCCAAAACATCAAGTGTGGTTCATGGCACACTAAAGATGACAGCAGGAATCCACAGCATCCCAAGAGCCAGGCTGACTTGGGGCAATGCCATTTCGACCCTCCTCTTAGCATCAGTATGCAGTAGCACAGTTGTCCTCACTCAGACCAGCTAATGAAGTCTGAACTGCATGAACAAATAGTTCATGCATGAATAGGAAGGTCCTTTCCCACCCTAACTGTTCTATGATTCTATGAACAAACCTCATAAGGTTTGAACAGCAACCACAACTGGGAGAAAACTGAGGCAGCCTTCAAATGCTAGAGCAAGCCCACCCCTAATGAGATCTGTTTCAGTGTCACATAAGCCAGGAAAGCAAACTAATATTTATAGAAACGGAGTAGAGTTGAATCTTATATAAATCTGGTCACGCAAGCAAATTCAGGGAGAGGCACTTGCCAGCTCTGGGTGCAAGGGTGGAAGAGGTCACAGATTGATGAGCTCTCACTTACAAATCTGCTCTTTTCCAGCACATTCATACAGCTTGAAAAACCTTGTAAAGAGCACTTGGCAACAAGCCTGCCAGCAAACTCTGTTAGACTGTAGGAAATGAGCAGGAACGCATGCAGGCATGAGGGACAAGTATTAGATCATGTAATAGGCTCACCTGCTCCTTAACGTTCTACTCCAACAACTACTTCCACAACAACCTTTTAAATACAAATTAACGACATTATCCTGAAAGGAAGGTACAAGAAGCAAGAGCACTGTCAACTTGCATCAATTTTTACTTTTCTTAGACAAAATTAAACACTGATAGTGAAAA